TTCAAGAGGTGACAGGCACAAGAGCGCTGTACAATAAACAATGGATGCCTAAAAGCTTTGTTTGTCCTCCTGCTCTCCTGTTTGTGTGAGTGTGTCTGTGCGTCAGTATCTGTGGGCGGGTGTTGGCCGGGGACATGTAAAACTGCATCAGACATGCCGAGGGCAGCGTCCTCCTGGGTCAGCCATGTTCATGCCACGCATATCTCCCTCCTCGTAGTCATCTGTGTCCGATGAGTTCTCCTCATCATAAGGAGCAGACGCCTCACTGACTGAGCTCTAAATGAGGGAGACAAGCACAGAATGAGGGAGTTCAAATTACAAATGTACACACATTAGCATCCTGGATATTCGTTTTTCTTGGACATTACAGAAAGACATAAATAGCAACTTACCGACCGCACCATTGATTCACGGAATGGTGGGCACACCATGTGGAAGCGTGGGATTGAAACGTCAAACACTTCCTCTTTGTTCTTGAGCCGGTGGAATGTGTAGTGGCCTTCCATGTACTCGGAGGTGGTGGAAAATGTGGTGCAGCTGGCGTATTCGTGAACTTTACCAGGTGTCATCACTGGAAACTCGCCTGCATGTTCATCATACGCAAAAAACAGATGCAGGACATTCTTTAGAAAGTAGAGTAGCTGTAACAGTGAATTACATGGACAGAAAGATACTGTTAGGCTGATGATACATGGGGCAACTTTTTTTAACAATATTGCTTGAACACTTTCACATTGAGAACGGGTAACAAATTTCTATCTGGATATTTTAGATCGGTTGTAGGCCCTGTGTCTCACCTGGTTGCCCGTTGATGGAAACATTGCCCTGTGTATCATCAGACTCAGAATGTCCTATCTTGATAATTCAGTTACCAATGCAGACTGTTCTGATTTACTCTTAGCTTACAGGGATGTGCTCTTACCCACAACACCAGGGCCACGGACCTCCTCCACATTTCCGTTTGCATTTGTGATCTTCCAGTACCGACTGTCTAGCTGGCATGCATTCTCTGGCAGGGCCGACTTTGCCATTTCAATCCTGATGCATAAGATGGTACAGCTTATTGTATCATCAAATGTCAGGTCTTAGTACAGCTGTGTTGCATTATAGCAAGTTACAGCAGAAAGCAGCTCGATCATTTTAGTAAGAACTATGTGTACAAATTAAGCACTGAGAGCTCTACTTTTTGGTAAGACACTGGGAGAATAAACAGAGGAAGCGTGCCACATGTGTGATATGTATCGTCTATGATAATAACGAAATTATTGATTTAACAACGTCACTCGTTTTGCAAAAATCAAACAAAAACTTGCCTTCCACAATGTGATATTTAACGCCAGTAGAATGCCTGGTTTTGTCTTATATTTACACCAAAAGATATAGTTATCACATGACAATATCACATGAGCAACAGTGCTGTTCTCTACCAAATAGAAGCACAATTGCAAAAGTCATAGTGAATTTATAAAGTAGTTAAATAAATACTGAACGTTACAATTTAGACACAATTAAATAACTGAAACAACAGGCATAACTGTTTTGCTTTTCAGAGTAGCGCATATTGGTGCTTCATTACTGAATGAATCCACATAGAATGATCGGTTTAATGAATGATTCAATGACTGAATTAATTAGCCGTTTAAACAAACCATTGAAATTACTTAATGAAACAACTCATTAAGACAGTGACTTGCTGGTAACTGGTAGTTAAATATACAATTAAACACATAGCATTGTTTTTGCTATTGTAAATTTATTTAACCTTTGTGTGTCCCTCCCGTACCTGTAACAAAAGTGTCCCTCGCGGGTCAAAATAACCCGAAGGCTTAAAATTACCCAAATTTTTATTTTA